TTTTTTAACTTTTAACCAACCGAATTGAAAAGCCAAAATATTGTTTAACCACTTATTGGACCACAAATTAATTTATAAAGGGCAACTCCAAAAACTTTGTTGTGAACTTTCGATGTGGGATAAATGAAATACTTTTATCAACGGATAATCCGTTTCTAATTACCAACAAAATATCCGTATGTGAAGGATCCAAATGTTAAACGATTACATGAGGCGCGAAGTATTCGTTTCTAATTACCAACGAAATATCATTTTTTTTCCTTTGCCTACTATTTCTCTCAATCACACCCATATTTTATTGTTGAAAGGTTGAACTATCAAACAACGGGTTGATTCTGAAAGCAAACAGAAATTAGGGCATTCAAAATATAGGTCTATTTCTTCACCGATTTCTCTCAACGGTGATTTCTCTTTGTCGCGATTGGGATTGCTTAAACTATCCAACGGTGGGTTCATTTCGGAAGCAAACAAAAGGTCAAAATCTGGTTTGAACCAAAGAGATGATGGACAAAGGTATTCCCCTTCCTCATTTTAGTTTGATATGGGTGGGTGGAAAACATGAGCATGATGTGAAATTGCAAGCTAGATATTACATTATTTCAGATGTGAATATCTCGATAAGGTGTCAAACAATTTTCGAATCCATGTTTTACATGATATTTTTGTTCTCTTAATTAGATTTGAGATGAATTAGGAATAAGGTTCATATATATAGAAGAAGGAAAAATTATATGCAGATATTTGTGTTCTTTATAATATTTTTTTTTGTGGCAACGAAAGGAATTTCAAAAGAGATGGACGACGATATCTTGTTAGAATCAGATAACAACAATATGTTGGAAAGTATGAATATAGTGGATGATGGAATTATAGGAGTATATGGTATGATTGCGCCCAAGAGGTAGGTATGAAGTTTAATGATGAAAAAAAAAATGTTTGATTTTTACAAAGGATATGCATACAACGTAGGCTTTCTGGTTAGGAAAAGAAATTCGCAAAAGGATGATAATGGAATTGTGAGATATTTTGTGTTTACATGTAGCCGTAAAGGTCGAAGAAGTGTAACACAAGCATTTCTATGAAGCCGCAAGCTACCATTGAGATTGGTTGTAAAGCTAGGCTGACTGCATCTGTAGATGCATCGGAGTATAGAGAATTAATACAATTAATCTCATTCACAATCATAAAACCAGTCTTTCGAAATCCAGGTTGTATCGTTGCAACTGAGAATTGAGTGCCCATGTCAAATGGTGGCTTGAAGTGAACGACATGGCAAGGATTCCATTGCATAAAAGTTACAACTCCGCGGTTGTAGAAGCATGGGGTATGAGAATATGACTTTCCAGCATTCTCAAGGTCACTTCTAATCTAGGCAAGCATATGAGGAGTTTGACGATATTGTAACATTCGATACCATGTATCTAACTAATAAGTATGACATACCATTTGGGTCTCTATACTTCCAACTCTGGATATTTCACAGAAATTAATGAAAAATAAAAATCGGGTATCAGGTTCAGCTCAAGCCTTCAACCTTAGCTTGCAAAGTGAACCTGATAACTTTCCAGCATTCTCAAGGTCACTTCTAATCTAGGCAATATTGTTCAAATCCATGGCTATGGCACTTAACACAATGAAGAATGCAAATAATATAATGAAGAACACAAATTGTAGTTCGCTGCTATCAACACCAACATCGTTAACATAGCAATTCTAACATCAAAAGCGAATACATTACAATGACTTCTTCAGTTTACCAACGGCACATATTACACATAAACTATAGCACAACACATTTTGTACATCAAAAGCAATAGCCATGCATCCTAAGAAAATATAACCACTAATCATGTTGGCCCCTTCTCTTTCATATCCACTCCCGCACTTTCGTTGGCCTTTCTTATTATCACGTTCAAAGAAATCTCAATGTCTAATTCCTCAGAGATTGCGTGACAAAGAGACTAGAACATGCGAGACAACTACTGAACTTCTTCGAGTGCTGCATGATTATTCGAGTTAACGGTTCGATCAACAGCTTGATTCTCCCTCATCGACCCATTCCCAATATTTACAATTAGCACTGCAACAATTGAACCATTTTCCCTTGTTCTTCATTTCTCTCTTGACCTCGAAGCACTTCGCAAATTCACTTTTACACCAGGGGCATCGTCGTTTGTACGTGTAATCCGCAAAGAAGTGCCCATTCTCTCTGCAGCTATGACAAAGTTCGAAGTTCTTTCCTGGCATACTGCATAAAAACGACGGATAGATTACACTACATTAGACAACTAAACAAGTTTTTTAACAAATTTCCGTCGCTCAGTGCAATCGAGTCACTCACGAAAATCAAATTTGAAACCAAAAATAAATGTTAAGAAATATATCAGCAGTAAACAAAACCTTCAGAATCTATAAAATTTAATACAAATTGTGCCTATGTTTTCTAGTTTAATAGCAAACAGTCTAATTCAAAACCTTATATCTTAACAACCTTTGGCAGTAATATAAGATTTAGCAATGATTAAAACAAATGCAATTTCAAATCAGCAATGGTCTCAAAGATATTTCCATTACACTAAGTCCAAATGGAGTTCTAATGTCTCATTTCCCACCCATACCACACATAATATTTCGAACACACGAAACTTTGCAACGCAATCTTTCGTAGCCAACCTTGCCCAGATTATCATATATTCAAAAGATCAAACCTTCTACTGATCACTATCAAATTTGGAAGAATGTTAAACAATATTAGATAGACTCCTACAATCAATTTCTTCAAACAAGTTTAGATGAGGGTAAAATTTTTTCCTACGAAGTATGTCGAGCTCTTATAGAAGTAGGGATGAGGGTGATATTTCTCCATTTGTTAAAACTAAAATTATTTCACCACAATAAAAAGCAATGACCAAATATCATACTTACATAATATTTGCTCAAGATTCCACTGGAGACGAAGGCATCAGCGACAGGCTATTTTGTTGCATACGGTGGGCTTCAATCTTGTGGCTACAAAAATATTTCTCACAGCCGTCTAATTAACTTTGTGTGGAAAACCCAAACATGGAGATGATCACTAGATTAAGCACTGTCTTCTCAATATGATAGAGTGCAGTCTCAGTTCTCCTCGCATCAATTGTTTCGTTTCAGAGGGTTTTCTAAATTTGGGGTAATTGAATGTTGAAAAATGATGACGGTTCTTCAATTTGGGTTGGTTCAAAACACTTGATCCATTATCTATATTTTCCTTGCCACGTCACCATGTCAAGCTGCAAGTAAAAAAAATCGTACGTGTAGTGGGATTGTTTTATTTAATTCGTTAACATAATCTTATTCTTAATAATATTTTTAAAATCCATCTCATTCTTATCTTAGGGTGCATTTGATTGAAAGCATAGATTTTCATGGAAAGAAAATAAATTTTAGACAATGGAAATTGTCAATTAAATGTGCTTGATTGATTTAATTTTTAACCTAAAAATATGATACAAGTTGATAGATGACAGAGAGAAAGTGAATTCCATGGAGAATAAAGTCTTACTCACTTAAAGAAAATATTTTCTTTGATTTTGAAGAAAATATGATCATATGACCAAAAGTAGTAAAATAGTTTTCATGGAAAAATGTCAATCCTACAATACAAAAGTAAAATTTGGGTGAAAAAACACATTTTTCATAGAAAATATTGATAATCAAACGGTCCATAGAATGTCGCCATGTCAACCCTTATTTAAACAGGGCTGTCTATATAGCATAACCATATTCACTATTTTTCTCATTAAACAACTCCCACGGGAGAATTAATGGTTTAAAATAAACCATTTGAATGAAGGCCGAAATTTCACAGCCATTTTTAGCCAATCAAATTAATTAATTAATTTTTTTTTGAACTTTTTACCCTTTTACTGGAACACTAAAAATAAAATAAGATAAAACCTTGTTTTATTAATGGAAAAATTATTCCTAGGGTACCCCACCTAATTATTTTGGTAGCTTCAGTCTCCAATGTTTCATTTTGGTAATAATTGGACCTCCTTGACGATTTTGTCCTTACCTTTAGTTAAAAAACTCTTCTTCTTCTTCTTTTTTTTTTGCTAAAATACAATTTTATGCGTATGAATTATACACATTTTGATTACATTATGTCAATAATTTTTACTTATTGACATATTTATGTCCTCAATTTTTTTCATATCATTCTTATCTTTATTTTCAATTAATTAGTATATATTATCACTAATGTCAATTTTCATTCAAAAATTCTTTAAAAAGGCATAGAAGAATTATTTTTGATATTATTTCTAAATAGGTAAATGAAAAAAAAAAAAATACTAATTTTGTTTCAATCCTTCTTTGATAACCATTTTTTCAGAATTCTTTTTTCTTATACCCATTTCCAACCTTACATTCTCAAAATAAAATATTCTTTATATAAATTCAAAATTTTTCTTACTTTATAACTACATTTTCTCAAAATTTACTATTCAAAAACTCGTTATTTTGAAAGAATGATTGTCAAACAAGGGCAATACTTATCCAATATTTTAAAGTACATTAATCAAATTTTTGAATGAAAACCATCATTAGAGATAATATGTACTAATTAATGAAAGATTTGAGAATAAAAATGATATAAATAAATTTGAGGATTAAGTATGATAATAAATAAGGTTAGTGACCGTCAATGAAATGTGATACATCTACGAAGAATTTTGTAGGAAAATAATTATACATAAAAAAACTCAAATCCTATAAAAATAAGAGGTGGGGGATTACAGCTGCTAAAATTATAGGTTGACGGCCAACTTGCTATATTTCTAATAGGTTGAGACCCCAAGCGAAGTTTTTCCATTTTTAGTTCACTAATCATGTTTTTTGCCATTAATTAACATATATTTCCATAGTTGTAACTATGTTCTTGTTCCTTTAAGAGTCCACTCTTAACTCTTCAATTAAATCCTTTTTAAATTTCTTCAAACTTGATTCTTCTTCCTCCACTCATTTAATTATTCAACCCTAAAATCTCTCTGTTACTCTCTAAAATAATCCAGCCCAATTAAATGATTAAAATCGAAAAATCAATTTTAATAAATAAAAACCAATACGAAAGAGAGAAGAACAGAAAAAGCCCACCATCATTAGTCCCTCGGGAGAAAAAAAATGGAAAACAGATAAAGAAACAGAAGATTATCATCAATAAAGCATCAAAATCTTACATAGCAACATCCCAAAGCTCCTCCACAGCTCCACCAGCCCTTTTTCTTACATTTTTTCTTATTTTGTACAATTTAGCAAAGAAATCCTTTTTTTTTTGTTGGTATCATTTTGTCAAACCCTAGACTTGTTCTGTTATTTCAAGAAAACCCAAGAAACTCTTTAGATTAGCCACAATACAGGGGATTTCTCATCTGGATGTTTTTCAAATTTTCAAGATTTTGAGAGTTTAATGTCACAGATGAAGTACATTGATAACACACCATCAACTCTAGGTAAGTTTAAGATGGAGAAGTCCCCATACAATAATAGGCTGAGGGTGCATTCATCTCTAGCCAAGATCACCTTCTGGTCCTTTGTTTTCCTTGGCTTGATCTTTGTGTTTTTTTATAGACCACCTTCTTCTTCCTCTCCTGTCACGTCAGATCTCAATAGGAGGTCCCTCAGAACCAACTCTTATGGTGGTCCTGCCTGGGAAAAAAGGGTCAGGACTTCAGCTAAAATCAGGTCAAAAAATAGGATTTCGGTTTTGGTCACTGGGGCTGCTGGTTTTGTAGGCACCCATGTTTCGGCCGCCCTCAAGCGCCGTGGGGATGGCGTTCTTGGGCTTGATAATTTCAATGACTATTATGATCCGTCCCTTAAGAGGGCGCGGCAGGCGCTCTTGGAGCGCTCCGGAGTGTACATTGTGGAGGGTGATATCAATGATGTTGCCCTCTTGATCAAGCTTTTCGACATTGTCCCATTTACCCATGTTATGCATTTGGCTGCACAGGCAGGGGTACGCTATGCCATGGAAAATCCTAGCTCCTACATTCATAGCAACGTTGCAGGCTTTGTTAGTTTGCTTGAGGTTTGCAAGAGCGCAAATCCTCAGCCTGCTATTGTGTGGGCTTCGAGCAGTTCTGTTTATGGATTGAATACAAAGGTGCCTTTTTCGGAGAAGGATAGGACTGACCAGCCTGCTAGTTTATATGCTGCAACTAAGAAGGCTGGTGAGGAGATTGCGCATACTTATAACCATATATACGGTCTTTCGCTTACTGGATTGAGGTTCTTCACGGTTTATGGACCTTGGGGTAGGCCAGACATGGCATATTTCTTTTTTAGTAGGGATATTTTGAAGGGGAAATCAATTCCAATCTTCCAGGGACCTAATCATGGTACAGTTGCGAGGGATTTCACTTACATTGACGATGTTGTGAAGGGTTGTTTGGGGGCATTGGATACCGCTGAGAAGAGTACTGGCAGTAGTGGCAAGAAGAAGGGGCCTGCACAATTACGTCTTTACAATTTGGGAAACACATCTCCTGTACCTGTTTCAGATCTTGTGAGCATTTTGGAGAGGTTACTCAAGGTGAAGGCAAAGAGGATGATTATAAAGTTGCCTAGGAATGGGGATGTGCAGTTCACACATGCTAACATAAGCTTGGCTCACAGGGAGCTTGGATATAAGCCCACGACAGATCTCCAGACGGGATTGAAGAAGTTCGTTCAATGGTATCTCAGTTACTATAGTAATGCGAAGAAGAGTGCACAGTAACACAATATTTTTTCAGTTGTGTGGTAGAATCATTCCATTCTTGTTTATTTTTGATTCTTATGATTGATTTAACCTATCTGTCACACCAATTATCTTGTTTCCAAAAATCTTGATGATGTTGTATATGGAGGCAATTCCGAATCCCACAAAGAAGCAGCTTTTGTGGTTGGTGGGCATTGCTGGCTTGGACATTCTGGTCTGTATCAAAAGACACGACAAACATTTGTGATTCATGGGAATTGTTGTATTTTTACCACGATAGAATTCGTATCTGATAAAGCAATACGCTGATTTTTGGACTTGTATCATCTTTATAATATCCAAATAAACAAGTACATGATAATTTGGCTGTAACATTCTTTATGTAGATACATTAAGTGACTTTTGAATTAAATTCTTGCTTAATTACTGCTGCAGCAAAGGCTGATGTATTGGACTGTCTACTATAATCGGCTTATTCATTTGCTACTTTGCCTCTTTACAATGTCACGCTATCTGACTAGGAGTTTCACAAATTGGTCTCTAATGTAAGGAGGTCCATGATAGTATATTTGCTTATGTTCAGGAATTGATTTCCCAGTTTCTGGATCCATAAAGTAGCTGCCCATACTTGGAAGCTTGGAATTTCCGGTTTAGGTAAATAAATCTAAATTTTCTCTTCAATATATATCATTTTATAGAATCTGTCTCTCCTTCCATTGTAAAGACGTTTGCTTATATAGGATTTAACATATATGAGATGGAAGCTATCATAATTTACGAGGGAATCTTTGAACGAGAACTTCTGTAGATGTAATGTAGAGCTGTAATTAAAGGTCAGCACTTCAAGGATGTCTAAGAAGTCTCATTTACTTGTGGTCAGTCTTATCAATTATTGAAGGGGTGATTTAATAGGAAAAACAACCAAATAAGCTATATTATCTGTTGTTTTAAAAAGCCGCTGAGGCTTTGAGGTGCGCAACGCATCTTACTTGGCACTTTCATTAAATGCCTCGAAGTGTACATCTTGTGGCACTTCAAGGATTATGCATTGATTTAGTGAGGCTTATGTTTTGCATTTTTATGAGTTTGCCTCAGGATTTAGCCTCTGGGCAGTTATGGTTTGAGCTCATTCGTCTTACGTTTTCTTGGCTTTTCATTATAAGGCTCACCTTTTAGGATATTTTAATAGATTAGAACGTTTTACAGACTTTTTCGCTTTCCTTTTTCCGCTGAGCCTCAGGGTTGCTAAGGTGTGCACTCGTTTGTCTACGGATTTTAATGTTGACTTCAGCCTTTTGGGCTATTTTCATAACATAGGACTTTCTACATTCTATATATATATTTTTTTTTTCTTTTTTCCTTTTTTCTCCTTTTGCCTTCACACAGAAGGAGATGGAGAAAGCATGATTGGAAGTAGATCCTTACCAAAAAAGAATGAGAAGAAACCAAAGTAATGAAAATCAAATATGAAAGACTCTAGGTCTTTAATACTCCCAATAGTGGATGAAAACTTCGTTGCGTGATTTTACTGATTTGAAAATTTATTATTCGTTACTTTATTGATTTATTTTATGTTTATTTGCAATTTAGATTTTAATTTTCTCAATTTGTTCTATTTTGGATTTTCCAAATGGTTTTTGGTCTATATTGAGTTATTTTATTAGGTTTTCTCGACCCTTTTGCTTTAACTTTCATAGATAAATGCCGTAATACTCGACTGATCCTATTTAAAGATCAATGTTCTCAACAAATTTGAAGGTTATCCTCTTGAATCTATTTATTTAGGAACAAATGAGCATTGGGAGTAAAAATGGTAAGAGAACCTGATTCAGCTATATTACTAATTTACTCGACTTTAACTTGGATCAATCTTCAATAGGCTGAAATTTGAGGGTTGCCTTTGATGTTAATCAACTTTAATTTCTAAGCCTTTCAGCACAGCTTATGAAGATATAATCTAATGAATTGTTAATTGTTGAGGCAAATAGTTAAGAAATTTGAAGGGATAGTAGAAGGAAAATATATAATTGAAAGCCTCAAGCTTGCTTCAGATAGTTATGCTTCTGTGGCATGCTTTGTGAAATGTGACGTTTTCATTAAGAAGTCGAGTGTGCCTAGAAGTCACCAACCCCTGACCTGTAACTGAAACTACTTACTGCTTTGCCCTTACCGTTATAGCAAATACAGTCTTTGCACCTACTCACCAGAAGCAAGAGCAAGTGAAGATTTATTTATCGACTTGAACAGTGCGAGCGTATAAAAGCTACCCAACGAAGGAGGGTAAGGCGCAGCCGAAGGCTGTCCCACATTCCGAGGTACCCATACAATATGGTAAGCTATGCCTTTCTGTTTGCTGGTTAAAAATTATTGAAATATATAACCCTGTTTGATTCCCATTCTTTGAAAAGAAAAAAAAATACAATCTTAAACATTGTTCTAACATCATTCTAACCACAAGCTTTTCAATAAAATAATATTACATGCAATTTCAAAATTTTTTCTTATTTTTTAATCATAAATTTTTCATATATACTATTCAAAAATTCATTCTTATCAAAAGAATGAGGTTCAAACAAGGGATAGATAACACTAAAAGGATGTAAAAGAAAGATGAGTAATCAATAAAATGTGTCACTGATCATCTAGAAAAATAAAAGTAGATTTATCAAGAAAATGCTTTAATTTTATTTAGCAATATTCTTTTGTTCTCTGGATCTTCAACTTTTAAGTTAGACTTCCGAATTGGAGAAAATTTCCTCGGAGAGTGTGAGAGATTACCAAATTTCATGTTTCCTGGAACTAGTTAAATAGTAAAACTGCACTTTCGAAGTGTTGTGGAAGGGCATTATATAGAATGATATGAATGTGAACCTTAATATAACCTGATATCAAGTCTCCAGGTGAAAGGTTATTTCTTCGTGCAGTGATTTCTACAATAATTTTCAAGTATTTATGGTAATTTCTTTCTTTCTTTGCTGAGTGGTATATGTGATAATTTTTCGTATGTGATTTTATGGTGAAGCCTTTACTAAGTTTCCATTGCGATTACATCCTCACTGAATACGTTCTCTGCTCTTGTGTACAGATCTTTGTCAATCTCTGCTACTATGAGTATTTGATTACCAAAAAATGAATTATAATTTAATGGAAAATAATTTGGGCCAAATGAGGGCTTAATTAAGAGGGATAGTCATGTTATTTTGCTAAAAATTGGAGGGTGAAATGGTCAGATAAAGCACTCCTAACCTACTATACCTAATCAAACAATCACTGTATTGTACAGTGCCTTTTTATTTTATTATAAAAATTCTTACCAATTCGATCAAGAATAATGCCCCTTGTACATCGAGCCTTACAGCTCAGTGTACACTCCCCTCACATGAGGGGAGGGGCCCACGCCCATTTAATTGGTCATTTGCCTGTCTGCATTTAATGCGCGGGCCTCGCCCCCCATGTGAAGGGAGTGTACATGTAGCAGAGTCGATCTATCAAAGAACGATAGAATTGTTTATATGTCACACCAGACAGGCAAATGACAAAAGTGTGCCCATTTCAACATTCCAAAATTCAATTATTTCTCAATACAAGTTCACCAGCACAAGCGCAATTATGTTTATATGTAATTTTGAATATTGCCAATATTCCAATAATCTGCCATCGAGCTCGCTACCAAAGAAATCAAGTCCACTAAGATTAATCAGAGGTTCTATTACACCATCACAGCCTATCAAGCCTATGAAAAGTAAATCCGTCCCATTTTGACACTTCTAGTTATGCATGATACAAGTGTGTTGTATATCCCATACGATCCACGAGATATTCTGTTGAGAATAACTTAATGACTACCATTTTAGCGCCACTGGCCCCTATACCTATATTTCAATACATCAGTCAAAAACATAATGCTTTTGGAGTTGGAAGCTTCAACAGAACTTGTTCAAACTAGTCATTTGCAATTCAATGAATAATGCTAAAAAGGACGAATTATACTTGCCAGTCTAAAAGGGTATGGTCTCCCTTTTCGGCCATGATTCTATCTTCTGGAAATACTTTATGGGAACCACTCCATCGAAACCCTCAGTCAAGATCACCCTGTTCTCCGAAATGTAAAGCTTCATTCCCTCTGAATAAAAGAGGACGCAGTGAGAAACATTGTAAAAAAAAAAGAAAAAAAAGGGCATTCATCCCAGACGAGAACTATCCAATTGAGCACCTTCCAAAGCTTTTTTTACATCAAGAAAGATCAACAAATTGACATCTCGTCTCATCCCTGAAAAATCGTGTCACGTATCATCAAATCACCAATACAATGATCTATTTGAATACAATGAAAACAAACAACGAAAAACTAAAGCCTAATAAAAAGAAGTGTACGTTGAAAAATTTCAACAATTCCAAATTTACCTTATTTCAAGGTAGATACACACCTTAAAACAGGTAAAACCACTAAGCCACTCAAAGCATGACAACCTTTTGTGCATGCGAGAATGAGTGCATGTCCCGAAGATTTCTTACCAAAAACTTGAAGATAGAACCCCTTTTACTTCAGTGTTCAATAGACAGTCTATACCCATCATCTTCCGCAAGAAGCAGGTTATTTTGCACATAAACACCACTCACCAGAATTTTAGGGTTTAAACTATGTCACAAGGCTAAACACGAAAGCTAGCTATCTCATGTTAAGCTTCAAGAAAGAAATGTTACATCAATTTAAAGCATCGGTGCACAGAATTGTGTCATTGCTAATAGACTGAAAAGTAAAAACATCAATGACATGCTAGGTAAGAAGTATTGGATAACACTGGATAGTATATGACGAAAAAGAAGCTAGAATAAGAGAATCATTTTCACTATATTATCTAGTCATGTGTACCAAATATGCAACAAATATACGAAATCAATGCGGGTGGGTCATTCCCTGCACATTTGCTTAAGAACCATTATATTGTTCTCTTTGCTCAGCATTGACATTCAAGGGACCTTATAAAGAATGAGGAAAGTAAATTGGCTTAAAGAGCAAATACATGATAGAACAGAGCACACAAACAGCATCAAATATCTCACCACTAATAACTTCGCCATCTGTTGGCAAGCCGCAAGAGAAGTGTACATGCAATCTCTGCATGCGTTTGAGACCATGTTTTAAAATTGATTCCAAGTTCTTCCTGTATGTCCCATGTACACAGACTGCACAAAGCCGAGAAGGGAGGAAACTCTTAGCAGTGGAAGACGTAAAACAGTTAACTCGATCTCTTCAAGAAGAAACATAGATGATAATCAAACACAACATTTTACCTGGAACTTCTTCAGGCGAAAGTATAGGTTTTAACAAGCTCTCTGTTTCAACTGTCTGTCCAGCCAAATAAATTTAGAAAATAAAGAACGAAAAAAGGACGAAAGAAAGAAAATCAAATGGCGCAACCATATAAATATGGAACAATTAAATTTTGAAAAGAACTCAAAAGCAGAATATGTTGTGAAATGAAAACTTTTGATGTCAATGCAAAACTGCATGATATAATGCTAAGAAAACCTAAGTTAAAGAGTTCACATTTACATCACATTTTTATTTGGATCATAATATGTTTTCAAATAAATAATGCCCCCTCTACTCATTACTAATGCATTTTTCAGAGTTCAATCAACATGAACATGTTGCAGCTTTTAGGCACCGATAATCTCAAGGTTATCCTAGATGTAGGTCCTGTCGATCTCAATGTATTTTGCTCAATAATGCTATACCGGGTTATTTGCTATCTCAATAACTGTTGTGCTATGGTGAAAAAGAAACATGATCCAAGCTCATCAAGGAAGAATCTTCAGCTAAGTAAGTTCAGTGGTTGTATGGTGCAGTGTACAATATTCAGCATCGGCACTAGACAACGATACCAAATTTTGTTTCTTACTCCTCCAAGTCACCAAATTGCCTCCAACAAATGATACATATCTTGATGTATACTTCTCTCACTCCAGTGAAGTCCAAATCTTTAAATCCCATATCTAGATATTCGTGTTTAGGAAAAATTGCATTGGAGGTCCCAAACATTTCATTTTGCAGCAAAATACACCTTAATCTTTCATTTTTGGGGCCACAGTCCAAAACCTTTAACTTCCACTGTAGATGAAGTCCATTTGATAGATTCCATCTACTTATCCATTAGTCAACCCTTAAGTTAAAACTTCGACTCAACTTAACAAATAAAGTGAGGGATAAAATAGTAAATTTACATTTTCTATAATAAACAATTAAAATAAAAATAGTATACAAAAAACCAAAAAAGGAACTGTTCGTCTTCTCCAAACACCCCATACCCACCCCCACTCCCACCCCCAACACCAAAACTCAAGAAATCTGATCACTGCCATCCACCGCCACCCATCTACACTTCGCACCACCTAACTTTGCCACCGCAAATGTCGCCACCGCAAATGTCAAACAACACATACATAAGCTAGGTGCATCAGACCTACAATATACAGTAGATCTTTGCTCCGCACAATAATCACATAGATAACCCATACTTCAATTAATTCTTAATTCTCAATCAAATTACTCCCTCCAACACTACATTTTTCGAACTTTTAGCCAAACAATTGAATCAAATTGACAAAAAGCAGAATTTTAGAAGATCATAAATAGGTTGTTTTATAGGGAGAGGATTGAAGTAGAAGAACATCCCTAACAGGTGAAAACTAAAATTGTGTCAAAGGGAAATAATGAACTATAAGCATCAGTTGAGAAAAATATTTGAAATAATAAATTTTGACCTTGTTTGATCCCCATTCTTTTCAAAATACATTTTTCTCTATTCTTTTCAACCACACATTCTTTAATAAAATAATATTACATGTAAATTAAAAAAAAATTCTTATTTTTTAACTACACATTCTCCATCAATCTATTATTCTAAAATACATTATTAGGAAACAATGGGGCTCAAACATGCCCTTAACTATGTGCTACCTTCTACATAATGATAGGATAGAGAAGGATACTGGAGTTGGTCCAAGAATGAAATTTACCTTCTCAAGACAGTGAAAGAAAGGGGTTTTGCAAGTCAAAATACGATAAGTTCAGTAGTTGTATGGTACAGTGCACAATATTCAGCATCGGCACTAGACAAAGATACCATATGTTGTTACTTACTCCTCCAAGTCACTAAATTGCCACCAACAAATGTCCTGGCGTATACTATCTATCCTATCTCGCTCCAGTCTAGTCCAAATCTGTAAATCCCATAGTATCTAGATGTCCGCGTTTAGAAAACAAAATACATTTGATTGGAGAGGATTTTACATATGTTAAGATAAGATTGACTATCTACATGTGCCGATTCATGAATTGGCTCACACAACTCACTATGACAAGTCAGGTCTCGTGCGAGTAAGATAGATCGACTCTCCTATAGTCTTTGATATATTTCTTTGTTTGTAGGAGTTTGATTAGGTAGAAAGACAAGTCATGTTTTGCCTCTATAGGAGTATCTGCAGGTTCAATGCTAAGTAACCAATTCATGACAAGAGATCTAGTATATATTTTCAAGGAGAAAGAAGAAAACCGTATTTAGATCGAGATACCTCAATGCACTAGAAGTATTTTGCATCACTCATATCCTTCCTTTCGAACTCTTTGGTAAGATAACTCTAGAGTCTTTCAATCTCACTCATGTCATCAACATACACAATAAGTAACGTGATATTCTTACAATCTTTTTTATAAAACGAGTGATTTACCAAAGCTTGCCTAAGCCCATACTTCTTCAAAGGACTTGACCTCCCAAACCAAGCCTTGGGAGATTGCTTCAAGCTATACAGAACCTTTTTCAACTTACCTAACTTAACTCATAGAGGCGTAAATCCCAAAGATGGATCCATACAGTCTTCTCTCAAATCATCGTAGTGGAAGGCATTTCAATATCAAACTACTTTAATGGCAAGTTTAGCTTAGGTGCTAAAGATAGTATACCTCTAATAGTATCGGAACAAAGGTCTCCAGATAATATTACCTATAAGTATGTGTATATCCTCTAGCAATTAGTCTGGTTTTATACGTCCACTGTCCCATCTGACTTGTACTTCACCAAGAATACCCACTTAGTCACTTACACTCCCACAATCTTCTTCTCCCGAGGTAGCTTGATCATCTCCAAGTAGAATTCTTCTAGAGAGCATTCATTTCTTCTATCACAGCAAAGTTCCATTTAGGATCTTTGAGAGTTTCCCGACACAAAAGACAACTACAGGGCAAATGCTAGGTGAATCTTAGATAAGCAATGATAATAAATATAATAAGAGACGAGATAGAAGAATTAGAATAGGAGTTTTAGAAATCCTACCTACCAAGTTCTTTACAATTGCGAAGGGGATATCTCCTACTAAGATTGTTAGCTAGTGGATTCAAGGCAACAATTTTTGAAGCTGCAAGGTTAGATTAGAAGATCCCGAAGCAACAAGAGAGAAAACACTATCAATCGTGGAAGTCATCGATGGCGCAATAGTATTTTCACGAAGAGAATAGGGAAAAGGCTTAACAGTATGATCAAAGTCTAGAGTGGGGTTTATGGTAACACTAAAACATGAGTGCATAATTTGTTAACAAACAAGAAAGGAAAGGTGTGCAAAAAAGAGAAGAAATTAGGGCAAAGAGGAAATTCTATTATTTATATATTTAAGGGTTCTTAATTATATTGAATAAGCCTTCATTTTATAGAGCAAATAATATAAAACTAATAGAATTTATAATAAGCCCTTGTTTGATCCCATTATTTTCAAAATACATTTTTCTCTTTTCTATTTTAACCTCACTTTCTTCAATAAAATAATATTACACGCAAACCCAAAATTTTTCCTTATTTTTTAACCACACATTCTCCATCAATCCACTGTTCTAAAATGCATTATTACTATAAAATGGAGCTCAAATAGGCTCTAAACTAGAACTTTATCAAATTATTAAAACAAATTTAATCGAATTAAAATAAACATACTTCAAATAAAACTCTATTTTAAACTTCTATCTAAACTATATCTCTATCTTCATTAAACACCCTCATTTTTCCTTGTATAACAATTTTTTAGAACATCTAGGTGATGTGTCATTCCTAACTTCTTTTATTTTCCCTTGCCCTCAGTTTCATACCCTCCAAAATTCATAGATTCTTCTCTTCTAACTACACTCATTCTTCTTCCTTACAATCAATCTCTCCTCGAGAGAAACCAATGACACATCTCCATAAAATGACTCAGACATGGATTTGAACATCAATAGAGGACATAGTATTTTTGTGAAAGTAATTATAACCCTTTCGGGAGTTGGAGTAACCAAGGAAGACACATTTAAGGGCACGAGGATCAACCTTATCCCTAAGACGAGAGTGAATGTGAATAGAACAAACACAACCAAAGACCATAAGTCTAATAGTTAAGGCACATGGAATAGGGTAAAATTGAGATAGCATCCTTAAGAGGGTTTGATGGTCAATAATATGAGCAGGAATCTGTTAGTAAAGAAAATAGCGGTCATGATAGCATCAGCCTAGAAACATTTAGCAACATGCATAGTAAAACATAATTCCCGAGCCTCCACTAAGATGGATTGATTCTTATGATCCACTATACTGTTCTATAGTGACATATAAGTTCACATTGTTTGGTGAAGAATACTATGGGTTGTGAGGAAATCAACAAATGATGGAAGCACGAACTCACGACCATTGTTTGAATGAAAAACATGAACTTGTTTAACCATCTTTCTTGACAATTAAGGAATAGCATTTATAATATCATTCTTAGATTTTAACAAGTATATTCAGTATACTCTAGTGCAGTTATCAATAAAAGAAACAACTTGAAGTAGATAGACTAGAGAAAAGACCACAAACATCATTATAAACACGTGCCAAAGGAACTGAATTTTTTAAAAATTAGGGATGGACATTTTTCCCGGAACCAGTTAGAACTGGCCAGTGGCTCCTGACCATCTAAGGAATTTTTTGCTTTGGGACAAAATATTGAGAACCGGTTAGTTCTGGTCCAGTTCTCCGTGCTGGTAGCTTACAGGTTTTTTTACCTTTTTTTATTGGTAAAATATAAAAACCTCAATCTTTTATTATTTTTATCAAACATAAATTACACAATCACGTTCAGTTTCCCTTCTCTGTTACAGTTTCCTTCTCTTTAATTTCTTTGATTCTTTTCTTTTCTCTTCCTTAAGTTCTTTAATTGATTCTTTCCTTCTCAAGCCAAATAAAATTATTGGGTAATCTACACCTAAATAATTTTATAAATACTATACAATTTCATTCCCAAGATGCAAACCATAAAAAAAAATTCCAGGGCTCAATCTTTAGAAAAAAATCAATTTTCTTGTTTCTCCAAAGGTTGGCTGGCCTTAAACCTTTAAGATTATTGAAGATAATCAGGAAATTTGTACTTTTTACCCTTTTTTCTTTACAATATATATATACACACACATATATTGGTCGTGCTTGAAGTTATATTATTGGTTGTTGAATGTTGAATGCTAGGTCTTCAATTACTAGGTTAAAGGTGTGAATTTTTTAGTTTTATTTTCACCTTGATTACTTGGTTGTTGATTTGCTTGTTGGGTCTTCAATTACAGCTGGTTTACATAGGATTATGAACTATTTTCTAATTAATGCAATTGTACATCATTTGACATTTGTTTTGTCATTTTCAATGTAAAGGACCGGACTAAATCAGAAGAGGTTCGGTTCCATAGATATGGAACCGACGGTACCATTTCTAAGATTTTCATTGGAACTCGGTTCGGGGTTTGGTTATCTTCAGAACCGGACAGCGCTTACTCCTAGTTGAAATTGATTTTATAAGGGACCCGATGGTTCTTAGCATAAATGCATTTGTCATATCGTAAACTAGAACTAGAACTAATATTCATTCAAGAATTTATCATCCAAAACTTCAATAACAAAATCTCTATAAACTTTTATTCTTTCAACCAAGAAACAAGAAATGGAGCAATAATATTTTAGATAACAGAAATGACAGGCTACTTTCAGTTATTAGTTTCAATAAGACTTCTGTTGAATGCAGTCCTAGTCACAATCTTTAGATGGTGCATTACCGCTATGGTGTGCCCTTGGTTTGCACGTATAAAAAGCTCCCCATTTTCTTCCAATAGGCTAAACCTCTGTTTGTTGTCCTTTCTGACAGCCTGTTAGATATTAAATTCAGCAGAAAGATGGTTGTTACACAAAAATTGAATATATAAAGAACAGAAATAGCAAGTCAATTGGAGAAAACACGCACTTGACAGAAAATGATTAATTATCATGTGGTACACGTTGAGAAGAACAATTTCATGTGTGTGATGATCCATGTTAGTTAGCAATACGTGAGAGAAGGGGGAACAACACAGAAAGGGAAACAAACTTTGCAGGCTAAAATATTACTGTAAAACTCACAAGCAAGTATTGATCTATAACACCATTTCTAGCGACCATCTTAATGTGAGCTTATTTGAAGATCATGCCAAGTTTTGCTAAAATTCAAACCCATGTCTCAACTGAGTGCTTTTACAAACTCAAAGGTTCGAGGCACCGGGCACGTATTACTAATATAATGATCATTAACTTTGATTCTCCTCCAACAAATGAAGATGTCTCTACAAAACACCCTTCTTAGTTAATAGTAAAATATACATGACCATGCCAGGTAAACTCCCTGCATAAAGGTAGAAAAAGGATAACAAAAAAATATGTTTTCTAAACTATAAAGACACAACCCAAAATGCTGAGGCTAATAATTAAAAACCCGTCTATGTCACAATAAACAAGCGCATGTCTTATCCACCATGAGGCATAATCCTTGAAACTCGCATTCAAAGTGCAAGGCTGTAAGCTTTTTGAGGTAGACGAGTTTGAAGATGCAACCTTTCTAAAATAATTTACAAGAGTACAGGCTAAGAGTGGTAGATGACTTTAAATGACAAGGCTATCCCTCAATAGAGAATAAGAAGGGAAAATAGAAGGATGACCATTGATCCATAGATGATAGATAGTTGAAACATTTTACTTAACGAAAGTAGTCAACGTCTCAATGGACATGTGAACATTACCATATGGTATTTGATATGAATTCTTCACATTAGATTTATACATAGATAAAAGAACAAACCTCTCTAACTTCATCAACTGTGTGTGAGCATAACGGAATATTGGCAAGCGTTTTCAAATTTAGCTTTAGAAGGTCTTGGACCTTGACATATCCATCATTCCTCATGTCCAATTTCAACTCAGAAGCCATGTGCCGTAATATACGTGTTCTGAAATTATTGCCCACAAATAGCTAAATTAAAGTAAATAATAATTGGAGAGATCCCTCAACTAAATTAACACTGCACTAAGATTTTAGAATTCATGTCATATCTGGTGAACCATAATTATAGAATAAAAAAGAGAAATAAATAGATTAGAATCCAATAAAACAAACAAAACAATGAAATAAATAAAAGAGCAGTAATAATTGCATACAGGAGTCTGCCAAGAGCATCAATTTTATCTTTGCCAGAAGAAACGCCACCGCCACCTCGGCCTCTTGATCTTTCCCGGCTATCGTTCTTCTCTAGTCCTCTTCCTCTACCCCCACCACTAGCATATATTACACCCGAAAATTAGTAAAAGAATTAGTTTCAGAATAGAAAATTATAATTTTTGACACGAAAACAAACAATTTTGAGGAAAAACGCACGCAGACCTTCTGCTGGAACCAGCAAAAGCAGTAAAAGAAGCGCTTTTGTTCCCACTGTCCATCAAAATTTGGGTTCGAAACTCGGAATGCAACAAAGAAAGAGGGTTAATGGGAATCGCTTGTGGCAGATAAAAAAGGCGACAGCGCAGAATTCTAAATCCACCGTTACTGAGTGATGACCACATGTGCTTTTGAGCTAGTTTCCGGAGGATCTTTGGAAATGTACAATTACAGCGCCACAAGGGAGAGTAGGGAGAGGAAGTTCACAAAAATAGCAAAAATTGGCATCGGCCTTTATCCATTAAATGAATTAAAAAAAAAATTAAGTTTAAAAAAAACTTCACAGTAAAAAGTCATTTTACCATTCAGATTGTTTGAATTATCTCTCACCGACCGACCGACTAGTGCAGAAATTCGATCGACCGACCACCAGAGTTACACCAACGTCGCAATCAACGACCATCATCTACAGTGAAAATAAAAGAACCGGTTAGTTTTCTGATCTTTTCTCTAGTTCGAATGCTTTTTTTCATAGGATAGCATCCTTAGTAATTTTGGTTGAAATTAGATCCATGGACATGAGTAGTTAGATTGTGGGTATGCTGGAATGTGAAAAATGCTTTTTTTTTGCCTTTTTTTGGAGCTCAGTGGTCGGGAATGGCGGTTTCCGGCCACTGGGCGAGCAGTCGCACCAACCGACTGTTAACAATCGGCCCAGACTGTTAACGGTCGGGCATCTGGGCCAGTTCACCGGCCCAGATTAAATATTTAAATTTTAAATTTTTTTATAATTTTTGTAATTAATTAAATTTTTTATTTGATTAAATAGTAATTATATTATTTATTTATTTAATTTTTTTTAATCATTGTCAATATAATATAATAATTGAAATATTGTAAAATTAACAATGTTGATTATTTTTTTATGAAATTATCTTTAATTTATTTTTTAAAATTTATTTAAATAATATGAATAGTCTAAATTTTAAAAAAAGGTAAAGTAATTATTTATTTAATTTTTATATTTGTCTTTTATATAATTTAATAATTCAAATATTGTAAAATTAACAATGTTGATTCTATTTTTTTATGAAATTATCTTTAATTTATTTTTTAAAATTTATTTAAATAATATGAATAGTCTAAATTTTAAAAAAAGGTAAAGTAATTATTTATTTAATTTTTATATTTGTCTTTTATATAATTTAATAATTCAAATATTGTAAATTTAACAATGTTGATTCTTTTTTTTTTATGAAATTATCTTTAATTTATTGTTTTAAATTTATTTAAATAATATGAATAGTTTAAATTTTAAAAAAAGGTAAAGTAATTATTTATTTAATTTTTATATTTGTCTTTTATATAATTTAATAATTCAAATATTCTAAAATTAACAATTTTGTGTTGTTCCTTTTTTTTTATGAAATAATCTTTAATTTATTTTTTCAAAATTTTTTTATGAAATTATCTTTAATTTATTTTTTTAAATTTATTTAAATAATATGAATAGTCTAAATTTTAAAAAAAGGTAAAGTAATTATTTATTTAATTTTTATATTTGTCTTTTATATAATTTAATAATTGAATACATAATATTGTTCGAAATTAACAATTTGTTTTGTTCCTTTTATTGTTCTTTTATGAAAATCTTTGATTTTTTTCAATTTATTTAAATAATATGAATAGTCTAAATTTTAAAAAAAGGTAAAGTAATTATTTATTTAATTTTTATATTTGTCTTTTATATAATTTAATAATTGAATACATAATATTGTTCGAAATTAACAATTTGTTTTGTTCCTTTTATTGTTCTTTTATGAAAATCTTTGATTTTTTTCAATTTATTTAAATAATATTTATATTCTTTAATTTTTTTGACAATACATTTAATTTGATTTGTTGTTTTTTGTAAATGTATTTTTCAAATGTAATATTTGTAATTGTATGGTAATTAGAGTTCGATTCTCTTGATTTTGTGAGATTATGCTTTATTTTGTTATCTCTTGTTCAATGCTATAACATTTGAATTTTTGCAGGATGGAGTATCATTTAGATGCAGAGTTGAGACGGATGTCGGGGAAAACTACTTGGAACAGTAGCTTTGAGAGTTTTACTGCTGTATTGGAGCTGCTCAATGATCAGCACGGAGATATTCTACGATAGTCCTTCTTGTGGCCACTATACCAGTTGCGAGAGGTGCAGTACTCAGGACAGATTATTGATGCACTTCTATGTCGGCTTCTGAGGCCAGTCGACGGCGATTCCCTCTAGTTCGACCTCGGGGGCAAGGTCGTCAGTTTCTCAATGTTTGAGTTTACATTGATCACTGGACTGAAGATTACGGGCGACGATGCAGCCATGGAGAGAAGCAGTAGGCTGTACGAGACGTACTTCCAGGGACATAGGTCGGTGCTTCTACCCGACTTGATGGTCGCGATCAGGGGGTGCGACCATATGCTAGATAGATTGAAGCTTGGGCTGGTCTACATCCTCGAGAGTGTGATGAGGTGTCATCACAAGAAGACTGCCATCGACATTTTTCATTTGCAAGTTGTTGACGACATCGATGCGTTCAACAACTATTCGTGGGACCGAAGATGCTACGAAGACACCGTACATGTGTTTACCAGATCGTACTCGAGGCCCAGAGGGTCGATGCGTAAATACGATACATATGGATTGCCGTTAGCAGTGCAAGTAAATGTTTAATATAATCAAAGTTAAAGTTTTAGTGTATTACATTGATGCTTAATAAGTGTATGTGTTACAGATTTGGGTGTATGAGACAGTTCTTGTACTGGGGGCCCGCTTTGCGCAGCGAGGGGAGACACGCTGCCCTCGGATGCATCATTGGAGATCATCGCGAGCGGAGGGATGTCCCACTGGGAAGCAGTTATCGGCCCTCCTCGACGATCCTCAGGTAAGTATTATGCATTTGTGATTTATATTATACGTAGTTTAAAATTTTGTTTACATGATCGTTAAATAGTTGAAATGTCAATATGTTAGCTTGAAGTCATACCTGAGTTGACGCCATCGATGGAAGAGGAGGCTCGGGGTCTTGTGCGGGATTTAGGCATTCCGCACACCCCAGACGAAGAGATGCCTGATCCGAGTTTGGACCGAGATTGGGTATGTGAATGAAATATAATTTATTGAATATGATCGACGTATAAATTTATTGAATAATTTTTCATTTTATTTATGTAGGAGGGCGGTCCAGCTGATCGACGATCACCTCCGTTGGGGTCATCGCCGCCACCATTGGCATCATCTCCGCCGAGAATATCATCCCCGCCATTGGCATCACCTCTGTCGAGGGCATCACCTCCGCCGGGGCCATCACCGCCGCCATTGGTATCACCTCCGTCCAGACACCTCCCCCGTGTGTCTCCGGGGCATAGTGATGATTTGTATGCCCGTTTGACTGGATTTATAACGGAGGAGGTCGGCGCGCTACGACAAGATTTGACGGAGAGGGTCGATGATCTGGGACTAGAGTTGACAGGGAGGGTCAACGATCTGGTAGGGAAGGTTGACTATATGACAGGAAGGGTCGACGATATGGGACGAGAGTTGACAGGGAGGGTTGACGATCTATCCCATGATGTTGGAATACTACAGTCTTTCGTTGTCGACCTTCAGGATACAGTAGCGGCGCTTAGGGGAGATTTAGCGGGCAGACGATGGGAGGACAGAGGGGATGGCGGAGATCATGATCGAGGGGGTGGCAGAGATGGTGATGGAGAGGGGGTCACCAACATTTTTGGCGTGATGAGACATTGGAGTCCTTGTGGTTGTCTATGAAGGGGGTGGCCCCGATGGGGATGAGAGAGGGGATTACAGAGGGGGTGGCCCCGACGGGAGGGACGGAGGAAGTGGCGACGGAGGGGGAGGCCCCGACGGGAGGGGCGGAGGTGGTGGCGACGGAGGGAGAGGCCCCCATGGAGGGGGCGGAGGAGGTGGCCCCGGAGGTCGAGAGGACGCACGGCGTGATTGAGGGTAAGAGACATGCTGTTGACGAGACGGAGGAGGTGGTCGGCAAGAGATTGAGAGTGCCGTCATAGTATGTTGTTTCCCCCTTCACGGCTGAGGCCAAGAGGAGGACGTTCATCGATGGGACGTACCCGAACTTATTCAGAGAGGTGGACAATGCCAAGTGGAAAGTGTTCGAGACAGAGTGGAGGAGAATTATCCCCGGGTAAGTATTGTATGATTTTAATAAAGCACTGTACGCTAACTCGTCTACGCTTATTTTAACATTTCCCTCTTTTTTACAGAGCTAGCCGCACGATAGGACAAAGGACGGTCTCGGACCCTTACAAGTGGTTCCACGATATCACCACTGCGGGAGCTTGGCTCGCTGACGATGTAAGTAAACTATTCATTTCGTGTTTTTTATGTATATGTGACCTTGTGTTTATTAAATGAATAACTCATACTTTTTCGGTGTTTCCTGCTGCAGCACATCGACTTGGCCATGGACTTGCTGCGAGATCGAGCTCAAAGACATCCAAAATCATTTGATATCCATGGTCGAGTCATATTAAACATCGAGTTCCTAGGTGCCGTTACCATAGAGTATCAGTCGCTCGCACATATGGGTAACGAGTACACGGTGCCAGAATATATGCTCGAGTGGGTGATAGGACTGCCACCGAGTGTCGGGGGAAAATCATGGGAGGGTTGTACACATATATGTACATTCCAGCGTGCATCAATAAACACTATGTTACGCTGGAGATCGTTTTTGCTGACTTGACTATGTATGTGTACGACCCAAATCATTCATGTTTGACACAAGGCCAGTTGGAGCAAAATTTGGAGTCCGTTGCTGTCATTGTTCCTATGATGGCCAGACGAGCGGGGGATAAATGTACAGGACAGATTGCGGATCGTTCGGAACACGACGACAGCGCGACAGTCCGTAAGGTAAGTGTTTGAACGTTGTTGTTTTCATCTTTCAGATTTAGTTTTTATTTACATAGTACTAAACTGATTCATTTTTGTTCAATTGTAGCGGCGACTGCGGCATATTTGCCATTAAGTACGTTGAATTTTTAAGTATAGGACATAAGGTTGATGAAATCAACCAGTCGTGGATACAGAACTGGAGAAAGAAGCTAGCATGTGATTTGTTTGAATTTAATGCTAACCCATAAATTTCATTTATATATATGTAACATTTCAATTGTAAATTTAATTATTTTTGTAATTATGAAATAATTGTAAATTTGTGTTCAATGTATATAACATTCAAATTGGA